CCGAGGACGTGACTCTTCCTTTCTCTCCGTGCTTACCTCTGTTCCAACGTGGCGAGGGATTATCATCACTTTTGACTTACGCCTTCTCCACCGACCATTGTTTATGAATTTCACCGATGTTCGCCCGAACCGATTTGAAATTGCCGCGTGTCCGGCCATCTATAGGGATTTTGTTGTTGCTCGCGTTATAGCGCTAGAGGTCACTAGAGGATGATTTATAAGCATCGAATAAGTGGATGGTTTAGATATGGTATACTCGAGATGTTGATGTATGATGTCGTTGATGTTTTAATACAACGTATGTAAGGTTATGTGTGTAGTAGAACGTTTATTGTTCGATTATTACAAATTATTTTGGACGAGTCACTATGATTTTTTTATATTATTATATAAAGAGGTTGGAATTTGATTCTTTTTCCCTTCTTTGTCCATTTCCTTACGATTCAACAACGCGGTTACAAATTGAAAGAAGAAAAAAAATTATTTTCGTTATAAAACGTTCAATTTCACGAAGAAACAAGCTCTTAAAAATGATTGGAAATAACCGGACGTTCGACCTCGTAATCTTTCACGAGGCATGTCATCGTAAATTAATTATATAACAGGTATAAACGGTGGAATTTGCGTACATATCCTGTGTAGCTAACTGGTCTCCACGTGCCCGGGAAGAACATTTTTACGAGCACGCTGTAACGCGCCGGGGAATCATCATTTTCCCTGCCATAATGCAGCCCAGAACAGATACCCGAGTGACTTCGGCTACTAACCAATTTACGATCAGACGGCCGTACCCTCGAATTGCACTGTAGTTACCCAATTGGGAAGGTGTTCGTAAGAAGAATCTTACTCGCAATTTTATTCGTTTCGTTGGGGGAAAAGAATCTCTCTCTTTCTCTTCCTCTCTTTCTCTCTGCTTATACTTTAAAATGAACAGGTTCGCCGCGCTGTCGACTTAACCGATCCTATCGAGAGGCGTCTCGGTTTCACGCGACAAATGAAACCGACTTTTTCGTAGACACCTAGACGATGAAACCTTAGCTCGATCGATCGTGTCGCGCGACGAGAAACACAAGGGTAATTTATTCGGTCGTTGGCGTCGTCGATAATCAATTTTAACCCTCAACCGGTGGGGTGAAATGCCTGTTACATAACTAGCCGGCTGAAGTTAATTTGCCCTCGATTACAAAGCATGGATGGAATATGAGCGATTTATCTGATTAAATACGCGGCTGGAGCTTGACGCGGATTAAGTTGTTGCGAAAACCGTGTACGGATGCGAGGCAAAGGGGAGAAAAGAAACAAGTACGCGCGACCCGAACGAGGAATTAATTTTTATCGTGAACGTGTATGTATATCAAGCGTTATTTATATATATATATATATAT